CCTGAGTCTGGGCGGACCCACTTTTCAGCCTCGCTGCCAGACTAGTCTTCAGGCAGCTGTCCTCAGCATTGGCCTCACTCGAGGTGGCCTCCTAGCTGGAAACACAGGTCACTTGTTCTGCTTCCTGCCCAAGCCCAGGTCCACGTGAATGAGAACGAAGTGGGCTTTCTCTTATACTTCCCAGCTTCCTAATTATATTCTCCAGTATCAACTCTGCAGGCCTGGTGAGAAGACTCCCAGGAGGCTTAGAGCCAAAGAAACAGGAAGCAAGAAGCTCTAACACCAGGGCCTCCCTGGTGGCGCAAGGGGTTAAGCACAGCACTGGGAAGCTGTCCGCAGCCACAGTAGCATGAGTTCAATTCCCCGGCCAGCCAGGCAGTTATCCACATGGTACAGCAGACCTCTCCTGACTCACCCGCTGCTCCCCTCAGCAGTGTATTTCAGTCAGTCTGCCTGTTCTGTTCCCCGCTCTGTCTTTGGTGAATCCTCTCACACCCCACACCTCTGGCCTGTACCCCAGTTCTTGTATGCATAAACAAGCTAATCTTAAAAAAAAAAAAAAAAAAGGAAGCTCTAACACCAGAGACCACTGGGGAGAAGAGATGATGAATGAAGCTCTTTATAGCAAACGCACAAGTGGCCCACACCCTCACTGTGTTCAGATGATCCTGGCAGGTAATTCAAGGCTCAAAGGGGAACCCGGATTTAGACAAACACCCCTTCACCTCTACCATAAGTCCTCTGAATTGCCTGATAAATCTTCTGGGTGATTGTGAGAACCTCCCCCTACTCTCCATGCTCTAGACCAACTCATACTTGATAATGTCTAATTTATGTCTACTGCCCACAGGGCTCCCTAGAATATATGAAAAGCAGATACATCGCTGCCTTTCTTGCCTGCAGCTTATTCAAACTATTGTTTGAATACCCACACCCCATCAAAATTTGAGGGTATGGGCTGCTTGACACTCCCTGGGAATGATCCTCATGTTTAATCAGATGTGACTCTACTGAGGTGGCAGACCAGAAACTGTGGAGGCAAGTCCTAAAATATTTACTGACACCTCTGCTGATATCACCAGAAGACCCCTGATAAAGAATGTTACAGTTAAGATGCCTTCAGGTCCTAGGCCACTGGACACAGCCACAGAGGCCAAGGGAGAACAGTGGCCATGGCTATTGCTAAACCCTCTAATCTCTCTGTATGGTAGCCCCGATGTAAGGCCCCTATACTCACCAGAATTACAAAGCCAGCTCTCATTCTGTTTTGTGTAAATCCCACATAATTAAAAGAGACTTATTACATTTCCCAAGCAGTTCTCAACTTACTATTATTTCCATAAAAACTTCACCTGCAAGTGTATTCATTCATTCGACAGAAATTTATTGAGCACCTACTATGTGGCCATAGTAATGTATTGAGCACTTACTATGTGTCAGGATCTGTTCTAAAAACTCTACTAAAGTCCTTGTCTTGAAATTATATTCTAGTAGGGAAAGGCATAAAATAAACATGTAGATAATAAGTAAAATTAAAGAGCACCAGAGCATAGAGAAAAGGGAGAAGGGGCTACTTTAATCAGTGCAGAAAATTTTGACCTTGGCTGCACATCAGAATCACCTGGGGCTGTATAAAATTCCCAAACCTGGAAAATTGGATAACAACATGCAAAATAATGAAACTATGTCTCTGATTTATAATTGCCCATTTTTGCTTTGTTGTGTTTTGTACCGTTATTATTTTTTACACTGTTGTCTTATTTGGTTCCCCTATGTTCCTGCTGTAAGTGAAACCATCAATATTTTTCTTTTTCCTCTGGCTTATTTCACCGAGCATAAAGGGGTGTGGGGAAGCAAATACTGTTTAAAAATGAACAATGATGTAAAAAAATAAAAAATTTAATTAAAAAAAAGAATGAAATTAGACTACTACTTCACACCAGGTACAAAAACCAACTCCAAATGGATAAAAGACTTGAATATAAGACCTGAAACCATAAAACATACAGAAAACATAGGCAAAACACTCCATGACATACACCTCAGAAACATCTTTGAGGACTCATTTCCAGAAGCAAAGAAAATGAAGGAAAAGATAAACAGTTGGGGGCCTCCCTGGTGGCACAGAGGTTAAAGAGAGTGCTATCAAGCTATCGCCAACCACTGTAGCACCAGTTCGATCCCCGGCTGGCCAGGGAGCTACCCAGATGGCGCAGCAGACCAATCCTGCCTTGCCCACTGCTCCTCTCAGCAGTATATTTCAGTACATCTGCCTGTTCTGTTCCCCACTCTCTCTGGTGAATCCTTCCACCCCACCCCCTGCACCTCTGGCTTACGCCCCAGTTCTTGTATGCATAAATAAATCTTTTTTTAAAAAAGATAAACAGTTGGGCCAACATCAAACTAAAAAGCTTCTGTACAGCAAAAGAGGCAATAATAAAAATGAAGAGACACTCTACTGATTGGGAGAAAATATTCCCACTCCATACAACCGATAGGGGACTGTTATCAAAGATCTACAAAAAGCTCACATGACTGAACAACAACAAAAACCCAGCCAAGGGCCTCTCCGGTGGCTCAGCGGTTGAGCGCTGGGTTGCAAAGCTGTCCGTGGCCTCTGCGGCGCCAGTTCGATCCCCGGTTTCTCCCCGGCCACGGGAGGAGGGTCCCACATGGCAAGCAGACCTCTCCTGCCGCCCGCTGCTCCCCTCAGCAGTGTACTTCGGTCCTTCTGCCTGCTCTGCTCCCCACTCTGGCTCTGGTGAATTCTCTCGCCCTCCCGCGCTTCTGACTGTACCCAGTGCATGTATAAATAAATAAATAATTAAATAATTAAAAAAAAAAACAGCCAAAAAACAGGCAAAGAGCTAAATATATATGAAAAAATGCTCAACATCACTTATAATCTGGGGAATGTAAATCAAAACCACAATGAGATACCACCTCACACCAGTAAAGATGGCCCACATTTAAAAAACTGGCAACAACAAATGCTGACGAGGATGTGGAGAAAAAGGAACCCTCTTACCCTGCTGGTGGGAGTGCAAACTGGTCCAACCACTATGGAAAGCTGTGTGGAGGACCTTCAAACTATTAATGAAACTACCATATGACCCAGCACTTCCACTCTTAGGAATCTACCCAAAGGACACAAACACATAATTCAAAAGGAAACCTGCACTCCTATGTTTATCACAGCACTATTTACAACAGCTAAGACAAGGAAACAACCTAAATGTCCTAAAACAGATGAGTGGATCAAGAAGATGTGGTCTATATTCACAATGCAATATTACTCAGCAATCAAAAAAGATGAACTCATGCCACTTGCAGCAACATGAGTGGAGCTGGAAGGAATTGTGCTCAGTGAAAAAAGTCAGAAGGAAAAATATTGGATCCACAATACTGGATGATATCACTTGTAAGAGGAATGTAGGGGAACCAAACAAGGGGTCAGGGTAAAAAAAAAGGCAAAACTAGCAGGCAAATTATAGATCCGAGAAATACAGCAGGGAAGAGGGAGAAAGAAGGGTCAAAACAGGAGGGAAGAGGGCCTCTCCGGTGGCACAGCGGTTGAGCGCTGGGCTATGAAGCTGCCCACAGCCTCTGCAGCGCCAGTTCGACCGGGAGAGGGACCCACATGGCGCGCAGACCTCTCCTGCCGCCCGCTGCTCCCCTCAGCAGTGTACTTCGGTCCTTCTGCCTGCTCTGCTCTCCCCTCTGGCTCTGGTGAATTCTCTTACCCTCCCATGCTTCTGACTGTACCCAGTGCTTGTATAAATAAATTAATTAATTAAAAAAAAAAGGAGAGAGGAGCATAATGGACTATGGTGATGGTTCCCAGGGTGATGTGATGGTGGAAGAATTATGAGGATTACACCTGAGAAATCAAATATTTTACAAAAATGAACAATGAAAGAAAACAAACGTTTAAAAATTTAAAAATTAAATTAAAAAATCTAGACCCTTTACCTGACTCTGCAATTGACTTCATTTTCTTTCCACAAGTTTCACTGTCACATTTATATGAGCTTAATTAATATGAAGACATGACCACTGAGAACTACTTAATCTATTTTATTTCCATGATTAATTTTCACAAGTAAAACAACCTCAAATCTTCAGTTCTTATTAGGAAAAAATCCTGACATCTGAGTGATTTGCTGTTGTTGTGTAGAAAGTGCCCATTTGTCCTAAAATGAAGTACAATGACAATCTTTGGGGGTTTGCTTGCATCAGTAAACATTTTAAACTTTTGCAGTTATAAATGCTTGGACTTTTGATAAGTCTGTGAAAGGTCTCGTTGGCTTTAATCTTTTAGGAGGTAAAAATTCTTGTGAGTTTGATGTACCCTGAGGCAGTTTTTCTCCTACCTAAGAATCCTCCTTTCAACAGTTCTCATTCCCTCCATTCAGATTCAACCATTTTTTCATTCAACATGAGAGACCTGAAAATTCCCTCCTTTCCAAAATATCGTGCAAAACAATGCAAGATTTTTTTCCGAGTTCACTGCATGGATTTACATTGATACACTGATGGACTAAAGGAAATACATACTTGTTCACCCCAAAAGGAAATCTACATTTGAAATTACATGCGCATAATGATTAAACACAGAGAAGAGAATGTTAGTATTTTTCCAAGAGTCAAAAGTTTACTGCATTATGGAAAAGTAACCTCTATATTGTCCAGAAGCTGCATTGATATAATGAAATTTCTTGAAAAGAATTACCCACCTGAGTTGTTTGTCTTGAAATGTCATTCCACTATTCTAATAAAAATTGGTATTGAGTTATCCCCAATCATTAGAATAATTTGTCATCAGCTACAAACTCACTGAAGGCATTTTATTCTTCTAATTTCCTTTTTCTCACTTCTATTTTTCTGTGATAAATTTTATCACAGATTTCAGTGATTCTTTTACTTTTACATCAGCTTTCCTGTGCCTCTCTGTCCAGAGCCCTGACCTTCACACCCTCGTCTGCAGCTCCTGCAGGCCAGTGGCCAGTGTGTCCAATGGTGGCTGCAATTTCTCTTAGACTTCATGTTTCCAAGGGTTCTTTTAAAAGGTTCACATTGTGACCAGCGGTCAAACAGCGTTTCTAAGTTCTTCTGAAGTGTGTGTGGTGGTAGTGAGAGAATAAAGAAGTGGCGATTTTCCTGAACACACATGCCTTCTACATTCACATGGAGATTTCACATGAGTAGCTCAAAGGGGCAGTTACAGCTTGGGCTAATAGAATCTTAACTAAGGAACAATAGTTTCTTTTGTTCTTGGTGTTTTATAACTGACAACAGAGGAAAATGACTTTGTAAATGGGAAATTATGGGGAGGCAAATACATGGGGAAAATAATGGCAGACAACAGTTTTAGTCAGGTTTGTTTTGTAGAACCCTGCGGTATAGACAAGGGTCTACATTCTCTGGTGGTAACTTCTGTGTTTCCTGGTTGGGAGGGGATGAGGGACAGTATACAAATATGTCCACAATTTGGCAGCAGGAGGAGCTTTTCTAAATCTGGTTTTTCCTCAATTGCCTTCCACTCAGTAGAATTCATAAGCCTATTCTTCAACGCTTTACTTCCTATCAACAGTTATACCCCAGGCTCTATCAGCATGACTGGTGACCTTCCATGCTGGGAGTATCAGAGATACCTGGAGCTGTTCTGTGTCTTCCTCTGGGTTGAGGTAAGAGATCCAGCCATGCTTCTAACATCCAAAAGCAACTCTTACTTCATTTCCCCTTCCTCGTGAGAGGGTGTCAGAAGATTTCAGTGTCAACAAACATTTAGTTTGGTGACTTTGTGGTCATCATTAATGCTGCCTGAGATCAGGCTGACGACAGCGTGGTGCTGTCTCAGGCAACTCAGGTCGGATAATTTAGGTGTGACAAAGATGCAGCTGTGAATCGGCAAAGGCGTTTGATCAGATCGGAATCCTAATGAGGTCTGTCAACAATCCTGCCAGCAATGAACACATCATTTGAGATTTTAAATTATATCAAGATACCCAGCACTATCACAGTCTGGAATAAATCAACTTCTTTTCCAGTACGGAGACCCCCATGAAAATTCATTCTTACTCTTCATGTCCTCCCCACTTGAAGCCTCTCACTCTAAACCATTGTAAATCTTCAATAATACTTTACTTGGTTATCACTCACCTGGAATCATTAGGTTGGCAGGTATCAGCACTTAAGTCATCCAGGACTATAGCTAAGATTATCTATCAGTGGTTAACCCATTAGAGGTTGTGAGAGTCACTGCTATTTTGATGTTCTTGCTCTTTTATGCAGCTGATAGAGACAACTGCAGCTTCTCCTCCCCACACGTGACTTCAGATGGTCTCAAACAAAATGGGAGCACTCAGCCCTCCAGACCTCTGCTGCTCAGACAGGCCCTTTGGAAATCAGAGATATGACCCACTGAAGAGGACTGGAGAGGAGGATGGATGATCAGTGCTATTATCTTGTTTTTCCCCAGGGAAGGCTGATCATCTATAGCATTTTTAGTTCTTATACCCATTCATTCAATGCAGATTTATGAGTACTCACTGAGAGATCAGCACTATTCTAGGTACAGGAAATAACAGTGAAAAAAAAAAAAAGATGAAATTTCTGACTTCACAGGATTTTTATTATATTCCCTATGATGATGGCTAAACAAAGAAGACTTTATTTATTCCTTTCTTTACTCATCTGGTGGAGGCAGGAATAAAGGAGATGGCTGATAAACCCGGAAAAAGGGTCGGAGAGTTTCAGAGAATGAGGCCTTTGGGAAGGTGAAGATGTGGGAGCCAGTTGCCATGTTGTAAAAAGAGACAAGTCCGGCCACACAATCCAGAAAAACTCCCACAACCCGAGGCTGCTCGCTCAGAGGAAGTGATGTTGGTGGAGAGGTAAGGGCCATGTACCCATTTATTTTGCATATCCTGATGGCCCAGAATCCAGATTCAGGCTTCAGCCTCATGAGAAGACCTCTTGGCACATTTTGCAGGCAAACTCCTAAATCGCACCCAGTTCCTTCTCCTACATCCACTTCAAAGTAATATCTTCCTATGGTGAAGCCCTCACAGCCCAGGACACAGCGGAAGACACTAAATCTCCCAGAAGTGTTACCCTTCGTCTGGGGGCCTGTACGAGTCACTTGTCTCCGATTCTCAGACACAACAAGGTCTTCATGAGCTGTGTCTGGATCCAGGGTCACGCTGACTGCAAAATAAAACAAACAAAAATCAAAAAAGACATTTTCATGCTGACAACAATTTACCTTAAATTTAATCAGCCTGTGATTAAATGCAAACTTTGTTCTCTACTAACTCTGAGTCCTTCTCTGAGCCTCAGCTTCTTAAAAATAAAGTAGAAATCACATCTGTCAGAAAGAATGGTGACAAGGATATCTGAGTGTATTAATATATGCTCAGTTCTTGGAATAGGACTTGGAATATATTAACCAGTAAGTCATAATAAAAATAAATATCCTCGGGCCTCCCTGGTGGTGCAGGCGGTTGAGCACAGCACTGTGAAGCTGTCCACAGCCTCTGCAGCGCGGGTTCAATCCCGGCCGGCTGGTGAGAATCCCACATGGTGAGGCAGCCCTCTCCTGTCTCACCCGCTGCTCCCCTCAGCAGTGTATTTCGTCAGTCTGCCTGTTCTGTTCCCCCACTCTGTCTCTGGTGAATCCTCTTACCCTTCCGCGCATCTGGACTGTCCCTGGCTCTTGTATAAATAAAATAAATCTTTAAAATAAATAAATAAATAAATAAATAAATAAATATCCCCGTATCATCAACTTCATCACCATAACCATCTTCATCTCTCAGAGAATCCAAGAACCAGAATTACCCAGAGTGGACACAGACACTGTCCTCCCCAAAGCCCTTGCTCTCCCAGGCAGGATAATGAGGAATCGTGGAGATTACAGCAGACAAGCCCTTCCCGTGTTCACTAACAAGCACCCACACCAGGGATCAGAAAGCAAAATAACACAACAAATGTCATAGCTTGTTACTGAGGTCCCAGGATTTCCCCAGGTCTCAGGACACAGCTATCGCCATGGCTGTAAGTGTGAGCTCTTCTGTCTTGCTTCATATAATGTTCCCTAGGGAGTAGCGTAAGGAAATCAACTGAATACTAATACACATGACAATTATCTGACTAGAGTCAAGTAAAATAGAAGCCATGATAAACATATGTGATAGTATCCAGCAGTGCAATATTAAAAATGAATAGAGGTAATGAAATTCTAGCAACAGAGTTAACCACCCGCTGTGTTACTGGATTAAACACTGATCATCTGGACTGCAGCAGTAAGAGAAACCAAGTATGCAGGGACACTTCCTGCCCTGGGGGCTCTCTTTACCCCCCTTAGATCACTCCCAACCTTGTCCCCACTGCTCTGTTTCCAGGAAGGCTGACCCCTGTGGACACATTAACCAGGCTCCCTTCTCTCTGACTAGTTTGCTTCAGTCGATGGAAAAAAGTAGAGTAAGAGTTCACTCCAGGGCTTATGAATATACAACAATTAGGTTAGAAATGAGTAATAGAACAATTTAGGAAATAAAAATGTTTCTATATCATAATATGAATATATATATATATATACACACAATTGAACAATAATAAAAAGCTACATTTAAAAAATTACATAATGAAACTAAGGGTGAATTTTCAGGAAAATTTAGAACATTTACATCTAAAAGCTACTACACTACCTATGAAACTTAAATTAGTAAAACAACAGAGAAACAAAATGAAAAAATTTTAATAAGAAAAAATACAAATTAAACAATAATCAATGAAATAAGAAAATACAACCAGAGAGGAACGAAAGTCACTGCTTTGAAAAGATTTAAAGAAATAGACATACATCTCACAGGTTTCATCCGAGGAGTAAAAGAGAAGGCAAAATTGGAATGAATATAGATTTTTAAAAATTGCATCTTCATAGAGTCAAATTCAAAGATACTTTTTTGATAGTTAGGTTTATACAAACTTGGGGGAATCTCTATGTTCCACAATCCTTTATCCAAAAACCCTGGGGCCAAATATTAAATTTCATATTATTTTTCACATCACAAAGAGAATAATAACACACTCTAAATGATGTGCCCACCCTCAGCAGGGGCTACAGCAGCCTTGTCCCTGTAGCAAATTCATCAACACTTCCTGTAGCAAGAAGGCTTAACAAAGATGCTAAATAGAGTCACATGAGGGAAATTTAGGTCTGGTCACAGTGGAAGGAGGACTTAAGAACAGCTTGCATGTTCTCTGCCGCCTCATTTTCACGTTGTAAAATCCATTTGACTTTGGGCTTAACTTGAGAACTGCCTCTGATCAATCACCTCTGGCCACTGGCAAAAATAACAGAATGTGACCCCATGGTTATATTTCACTATGTGACTCCATCTTATTAGCTGCCTTACTTGAGAGACTCTCTCTACTGAGCTCCCTTGGAAAAAACAATTGGCCAAGTTGGGAGGCCCATGGGCAAAGTGATGCGCAGTGACTTCCAGAAGCTGAGGGCACTTCTAGACAACAGCTGGTAAGAAGTCAGGACCTAAATTCTGTAACCATGAAGAAATGAAATCTGACACCAACTGAAGATTATTCCCCAATTGAAGCACCAGGCGAGCCCATAACTGTGGGACCCCACCTGAGCTGGGCCCAGATTTATGATAAACGATACTAAAAGATAAAATGTGGTTTTTGCTTCAAGCCACTAAATATTTTTGTAGCAGTAGATAACTAGAAGTCACCAAATCATGTCCAATTAGATTTGATTTTGTGAAAAAGTGAATTATGGAAAGTATTTATTTGTCAAAGCATTTGAATTTTGTAACTGTGGATAAGAGGTGATGGAAATAGGGCCTGGTGGTGCAGTGGTTGAGCGCTGGGTTGCGAAGCTGCCCGCAGCCTCTGCAGCGCTGGTTCGATCCCCAGCTGCTCCCCGGCCATTGGAGAAGGGTCCCGCATGGCGCACAGACCTCTCCTGCCACCCGCTGCTCCCCTCAGAAGTGTACTTCAGTCCTTCTGCCTGTTCTGCTCCCCGCTCTGGCTCTGGTGAAATCTCTCACCCTCCCGCGCTTCTGACTGTACCCAGTGCTTATATAAATAAATAAATAAATAAATAAATAAATAAATAAATAAATAAATAAATATTTAAAAAAAAAAAGAGGTGATGGAAATACAGCAAGCACTGATTAAGAGATTATGGGGAGGAAACCAGATTTGCAATTGATAAAACATGGTTTTCCTTATGATTCTAACATTCACCATGCTGGCTGGGTCAAGGCCCTAAAAATATCTGCATCTCAGCCAAGTATCCTCACCTACCTCTCTTCCATTATTCTCAGACTTGACTGCACTATTAGCAATAAACATTATATATCTGACACTGGTCTTCATCCTTAGTATTTAGGGGATCCCCATGCTTTCCATACCTTGGTAGCTCTTTAACATTTTCTTCACATTTAAGTAAAGCTCAGAAACATTGCACACAGTGTTAGGCTCCATAGAGATGGCCTCTGGTAAATCCAGCGTCACACCTGAACTCCTAGAATCAACAGAAGACAGAGACTTTGGTGGACATTCCATGAAGCTTTACTTACTCCCACCTCTTCCTCACTATACTCGTACAGCACTTACCTATTCAAGGTGTTTTTCACATCCTAGGGACAAACAAAGACAAACATGAGCTTGGGCTTGGCACATGGGGCTACCTTTATAAACACTCCTTCCAAAGATGTGAAGAGAGTGACCCAGGCTTAGACATCCCAGGTAAGATACCCATCCAGTGCCCTAGGATGGGCAGCATGGCATTAAGTTTATCACCCTGTGATGCTGTTAACTTTCTTGCTGTTGCCTGTGATCACATCAGCCTGTGGACTGCTGGGAGAGAACGGCTAGGAACTTCCTATGTGCCTCTGGCAAGACCTGCTTTCAGAGACTAATTTCATTCAGAGGAATCCATATTAGAGCTTGCTTCTGGTCCTCAGTGGGAAGCCCACGCAGAGCTGCTGCGATGAGACACTAAGGTGGTGGCAGCAGGAGCCCCATGTTAGCGGAGCAGGGCTGTGACATTCTCAGCCTCACAGTTTAACCACAGCTCCAAGTGGGAGCTAGAAAACTGCTCCAGGCATTTTCTTTTTTTTTTTTTTAAAGATTTATCTTTATTTATTTATTTATTTATACAAGCACTGGGTACAGTCAGAAGCGCGGGAGGGTGAGAGAATTCACCAGAGCCAGAGTGGGGAGCAGAGCAGGCAGAAGGACCAAAGTACACTGCTGAGGGGAGCAGTGGGCGGCAGGAGAGGTCTGCGCGCCATGTGGGACCCTCCTCCGGTGGCCGGGGAGCAGTCGGGGATCAAACTGGCGCTGCAGAGGCTATGGGCAGCTTCGCAACCCAGAGCTCAACCGCTGTGCCACCGGGGAGGCCCTCCAGGCATTTTCTTAATGGACTGTATCTCTCCTACAGCTGAAAGAAGGCCATGGAGAGCTCCTGGAACACGTGATCTATAAGTAAACAAAGAAATTTAGCATACGTTTTTGCTGCCCCACTTTTATACCCACAGTCACGTGGAGTGTTTCAGGAGACAGTCTGACAAGGTTCTGTGCCCATGGGACAGGAGAGGGTAGTAAAAATAATTCCATGGTTCCAGTGGACAGGAACCCATCATATATGCCCAATAGGAGCCTATTTTTGATTCACATAAAGGCACCCTATAGATTACTGGAAGCCACCTTGCAGATACTGATGTGTACTTAAAAGAAACACTACTTTATGTTCCCCACAGCAATGTATCACCCTGTAGTGAACAGGTAGGCCTTGCTCATCTCCCGCTACCTCCGGGGGCTGCTCTCAGGGGCTCAGCAACAGACACCTCCTGGACATCTGCCCCTGCACAGCCTCACCTGCAGCAAATCCTGGGCTGACAGCTGACATTTCTTCTCTAATTCCAGGATGCGGTTCTTGATTTCAAGGCTCTGCTTTTCCAGACTGGCTTTATCATCCTGCAGACTCCTCAGAGTCTGTTCTTTTTCCTTCTCCAGTCTCCACAGAAATGCCTTCTCCTCTTCACGGAGAAACTTGTAGAGATTCTTGAAATCAGACTGGATTTTTTGTCTCTGAAGCTCCATCTTCTCCTAGAAGCAAGAAAGTGTGCTCAAAATCTAGAAATAAACCAAATGTCATTTAAATGAAATGAGAACAGACATGGTACATACATATCACGGAAAGCTATTGAAATCTGAGAAGGGGAGAAATTCTGATATATGCTACAATGTTGGTGATTGTCGAGGACATGATCAGTGAAGTCAGTCAGAAACAAAAGGAGGATAATTTTATGATTATCCTTATAGAAGGAGCCTAATCAAATTTAGACACAGAAAGAAGAATGATGGTTCCAGTTACAAGGAGTGGGCAGTGGGGAGTTATTGCTTAGTGGGGCGAGATTTCAGGCTAGAAGGATCTCACAACTCTGCAGAGGGAAAGTGGCCATGACTGGACAACAATGAGAAAGTAGTTAATGTAAAGTATAAATTTTATGTTTATTTTAAAACACACACACATAAAAAAAGAATTTACTTAGCTATTGTGACATTGTTTTCCCATGAGCACTTGCGGTGGGAAAATGTCCCACGTTCCTGCTCAGTCATACCTGGCACAGGCAGTAGGTGTGGGAGGGACTGTCGTCAAGCTCTAGTTGTGTGATTATTTTCCATCTTTAGCCACAACACAAGAGAAGGAAGTACTGAATGCTTGCAATAGTCATTATGAAACTAGGGCCGAGGTCAGATGCTGAGTTTTCATTTGGAATATAAGAAAGAATATCTGTCCCTGAGCAATTTTTGTCAAGCAAAACTTGTAATGAACATAACCACGACTGGACATTATGACAACATGGCACTCAGCAGAGAGAGGTCGAGGCAGCAAGTTTCAGTGAGAGACACCAGAAACATCCTTATGTGTAAGACTGACAGGAACCAAGAGATCTCTCTTGTGGGACCCACTTTTCATTTGGGAGACAGAGAGGAGCAATTTCCTTTGGTGCTTTCTAAATTCATGCAGTATTTTACGATTGTGATGTTGTGGGAAAAGGGTCATTGATTAGGATGAAATGGAAATTTTGTGAGGGACACCTCAAACTGTTGCATTGACATGGTTTCTCTAAATGTTTGCAACAATGGAAGTCCCCTTCACTACCTGAGATCCAAGAAATGAGGGAAGTATGGCTGTCCTTTGAAAGCTCAAGTTTAACATCCACACACAAAAGATCAGGACAGAGGCTGGAAGAGAGCCCTGGGAGAGGCAGAATGACTCACTGGTCTGCAGAATTAACTGTAAAGTGATGGATTCCATCAGTTTGTCCATGAAGGTGTGGGCTCTGATCCTGCTCAGGTACGGAAACAGACTTAGAGACCCACAGTCTGCAGTGGATCTGCATATGATCTTGCTGCAGCTCCATCCTCATCACCAACCTCATGAGTTGAGTAGCATAATCTCACCTGGAGTGACCCTTTTTCAGTGCTCACAAAGGATAGTTTTAGAACTTGAAAATTTGAATGCCAGACCCTGCACTGTGCTAAGTGTGCCAGTGTGATATGGTTACGTGTTGTATGCGATATGGTAGTCCACCAGCAAGTTGTATAAAAAAGTAAACTTCAGGGCCTCCCCTGGTGGCGCAGTGGTTGTGCCCTGGGCTGCGAAGCTGCCCGCAGCCTCTGCAGTGCCAGTTCAATTCCCGGCCACCGGCGAGGGTCCCACATGGTGTGCAGACCTCTCTTGCCGCCGCTGCTCCCTTCAGCAGTGTATTTCAGTACATCTGCCTGTTCTGTTCCCCGCTCTGGCTCTGGTGAATTCTCTCACCCTCCCACGCTTCTGACTATACCCAGTGCTTGCATAAATAAATAATTCAATCTTTTTTTAAAAAAAAGTAAACTTCAAGGTATTTACAACTTGAAACCCAGTCTAAAATGGTACCATTGGAAAAAGATAAAAATTCTTCTTCTCTAGACTAACCTATTGGGCATCCTAGTCAATTATTCTGAGTTGAAAAAATGGAAGATAAACACACATAGACATAGACACTAGGGAAAGAGAAACAAAGAGGGATCCTCTCTGGCATTTCCCTTCTTTTTCTGGTTTAGTGAGAATAAGCCATTATTGTGATTTGCCCAACCATCCCCTCTGTCTAAGCTCTAGGATGGAAAATCGTATGAGATAAATCAACTCAAATTCTTACCTCCCACTTGCTTATTTGTGCTGTTATGGTCAACTTCGCACCCTGACATCGGGCTTCTAAAAACCGCAGGAATTTTACAACTTTCTGGAGCTTTCCCTGATCAATTTTGGGTGAAAAAAATATAGTCAACTTGAGAAATCTTTAATAGGCTCCTAAGTGGAATCCCCACCCTCCATCACTATTACAATAATATTAAATATTGTTGAATCCTTACACTTACAGAACAAACACCCAGAGACTGTCTGTGCAGTAACATATCTGATCCCGTGGTAAACCTGCCCAGTTGGGAGGATTTGTACTGTCATTTCTGTGCTGTAGAATCTGAGGTTTAGGAAGGGGTTAAGTAACATGCACCAGCGGCCATCGCTGGTAGGTGGCTGAGTTGTGATTCCCAGCTCAGCTGATGACCCAGAGTCACTTGACCTAAAACCACAGTTCTGCCAGGGAAATGCTACACAAGGAACAAGATAATAACCATCTACATGAGAACTGTCTCCAAGCTTCTATATAAGTCTTCCAGATGCTCTCCCATATATCATTGAGCAAAAACTGGGCCCTACTCACCACCCAAATCAAGGGGACACCAGCATTCTTGTTTTGCTGATTCCTTTACCCTACTGACTGCAAGATCCCTAAAAGGTGGTGTATCTGTCCATGTTTTCAGATTCTGTCACATGGCCCCACACATTGTGGTTTCTCCAATTATACAAACATGTGAAGTTAAAACAGGCTGGTGTGGATTGGGCACACTGTATTCTACAGCAGGGGATCATTACAGCAATTTGAACATCCACTAAATGTCAGGATGGTTATGATTTATTTCTTGGGGGATCATTGTAAGCCATTTGTCAGAAAAATGACATGATGAAAGTCTTGTTTCAAGATCATAATCTCTGGTTTCAGAGTAAAAAACCTCAGGCCTGCGAGTTCAACACGAGAGCAAGTACTTGCTCAAGCCCTCATCCTGCCCACTCACCTTGTATTCTGGGCCTGCGTCGTCCACAAGAGCCGTGCTGTGTCCTCTGTGCTGGGGGGAGCGCTCACAGAGCCAGCAGATGAGCTGCCCATCGTCCTCACAGAACAGGCGGAGCTTCTCCCCATGTTCATCACATTGCCTCTCACTGTCTATCTCCCTGACAGTCTGAATGAGGTTTTCCAGCTGCTTGATGGATCGGAGACTCTCCCTTTGAAATGGTGCCCGGCACAGGGGACATTGGGACTCCCTTGGGGATGATGTCACTCGTGGGTTCTCAAGGATGCTTTCTATGCACTGGCGGCAGAAGCTGTGCCCACAGTTGATGCTCACGGGCTCCATCATGAGCTCCAAGCAGATGGAGCACGTGGCTTCCTCCCTCATCTTCTGGGTAGCTGTGGCTGAGGCCATGGCCCTTCTTGAAAAGCTCCAATATCAGGTTAGAGGCAGAGATGAAGTAGACAGAATTTTCCACAGTGAAGGACATACAAGTAAGCTGGGCTTCTGTCCCTTCACAGGTCTGGAAATCTGTCTAGAAAAGCAATGGATTTGCATTTGGAACATGATACCATGTCACTGTGATAACTATCACATATGGCCGCCAAAACTTAAATTAATGAAAATTGAAAGGAGTATTGAGTTTCTCGGTCCCACTACCTGTGCCGATTGCTTAATATCTAGATATGCCTATGGCTACCTGGTGCCCCCAGTCTAGAATATTCCATCACTGAAAGTCTTTTTGAACCAAGTATTAAGAGAGACACAGAAGCAAGACAGGTTTAACTCACAAAAGTTGGATCAACACAGAGAGAACTCAGTGAGGGAGAGCAAAATTCTTTCCATGTCCAATGAGGATCAAGAACAATTGGTGCCACTTTACTCTTTGTTAATAACACTCAGGAATTGGTGGATCCTTGAAGGATTCTACTGAGACAATCACATTTGACTCTACTAACCCCCCCACCCCACACTTTCTCTATACCCATTCCCACACCAAAGAACAAAACACACCAGCTAATAAAATTTCATGGCAGTTCTACCAGGATGGTAACAGAAATCCACCAGGCAACAGGAAGAATCAGTGTGTGCCGTCAGGCTCTCTGTGCTGAGGTAAAGAGATCTGGAAAGAACTTGGAAAAAAGGGGGTTGGCCTGGAAGCAGACCCCCAGAGATCCACCAAGGCCACTGTCTCTTCTTCAAGCCAGGACTTGTCTCCCAGGAGAAGGTCAGTGTGGACCTGGCAGGCAGAGAGGGAGGGGAAGAGACCAGAAGCAAAGACCCTCCCTTCTGGCCATGCTGCAGCAGCTTCTGCAAACTAGCCCTGACCCCACCTCTCTCACTGCTGGTCTGTGTGGCCAGAGCCTGCAGTCCGAAGAAACTCCAGTGACCTGTCCTTTGCAGTCTCTGTATTGAGACCTGGGATTCAACTGAAGTTGCTGATTAGGCTGTTTCCCTCCGGTAATGAGAACAGCTTTCTCCAGCCACAGAGAACTTCTCCTTGAGATTCTATTCCAAGGGAGGTGATTTCTCCCAAAGGATAAGGCTCCTCTCTCCCAGGTGTTCTGCACTCTCAAAGAGAAGGGCCTCCCGCCTCTGGCACCCAGGGCACAGGACCTTCACTCACCTCACACCCTGGACCTTCTGAGATGCAGCATGGAGTCTGTGAAAGAGAAAGCAGCCAGGGCAAGAGCTAGAAAGCAAAATCCTGACCATTTTCAAAGTGTCAGGGGCTCACCCACTGCCACCCCATCTCTCTCTCTCTCTCTCTCTCTCTCTCTCTCTCTCTCACACACACACACACACACACACACACACACACACACAGAGAGACAAACCTTGGCCTGGCTTCGTTCACTACCAGGCCCACTCAGCACAGCCTCATACTCCGTGTCAGTGCCTCTGCACTCGCCACTTCCTGCAGCCACAGCAAGGAAGTGAACTCTGACTGCTAAACTCGGAAATGAAAGTAACACAGGGTCAGGGTCCAGGACACGGGAAGGAAACCGTGACATTACTCATGTTTCCCACTGAGCTTGTTCCAGAAGGGGGCGAGAGAGACAGTAGGAATAATGCCCTGATTTAAGGCAGTAGAAAGAAGGGAGAGAGTGATAGCTCAAGACTCTGTCTTGAAAAGAACAAAAAGAATGAATGAAGAGAGACAGAGTTCCAGAGACACGTGGGGCACCATTACATATACACGTTATGTATAATGGGACTCTCAGAAGACAAGACGAAAGTGCAACTTAAACAGCATACTCCTAAATAATCCACAGATTGTATTAGAGAGCAGAAAACAGTTTGAGATGAATGAAAATGAAAGCCAACACACCAACACTCATGTGATGCAACAGCAGTGCCTAGGAGACTGACAAATGTAAATGCCACATTAATAAAGTAAAAAGATCCCAATTCAATACCTTAACCTTCTATCCATTTTTTAGATTTATTTATTTATGCATGCATGCATGCATAACTGGGGTCTAAGCTGGCAGGTCTACAGAAATACACTGCTGAGGGGAGAAGTGGGAGCGACAGGAGAGGTCTGCTGTGCCATGTGGGTCTGCCCCCTGGCTGGGGATCAAAATCTAGCTGCAGTGGCTGGAGATAGCTTGATTGTGTTGAGACTTTAACCCCTGTGCCACCAGGGAGACCTTAAGCTTCTATCTTATGAAACTAGAAAAAGAGCTAATTAAAAACCAAAGCAAGTAGAAGGAAGTAAAGTTATTAACAAAATAAAGAACAGAAGATAAAACCTTGCTTATTGACTAGACTAACCAAAATGAAAAAACTTTCAGCTACACTAACCAAGAAAATAAGAAAAGGCACAAATTACTCAACTAAGGAATGAAAGGGGACATTACTACCAACCTTAAGATATAAAAGACATAAAAAATTATGAGTAATTAATTATATGCTAACAAATTAGATAACCCAGATAAAATAGATAATTTAAATGACACCAACGACCAATAATTTCCAAGGAGAAACAGAAAATATGTCAAGCTATGACAACTAAAAAGTATGAATTAGCAATCTAATCCTTTCCACAGAGAAATGCCTCAGGGACAGATGTCTTTACTGGTGAATTCTATCAAATGTTTAAAAAAGAACTAGCACTAATCTTTCCAAGCTTTTTATAGAGTAGAAGAGGGATTACTTTCCAACTCATTCTACAAAGTCGCTATTACTCTGATAATTAAATATATCACAGAAAACGAGAGACCAATATCCCTGGTTAATAGTGGCACTAAATTACTCAACAAAATATTAAAACTGAAACCAGTGACATTAGAAAATGGTTTCTAGACCATGAACAAGTTGAATTTATCTCAGGAATGCAAGAGAGGCTCAATATTTCTAAATTAATCAATGAAATACACTGTATCAATAAAACCAAGACCAAATGACATCTCAATAAACAAAAAGCATTTCTCAAAATCCAACATCTCTTCATCAAAAGACATACAGCAAAAAAGGAATACAAGGTCACTTTCTTCCACCTGATAAGGCAAGGGTTCCACATGGGACACAGACCTCTCCTGCCGCCCGCTGCTCCCCTCAGCAGTGTTCTTCCGTCCTTCTGCCTGTTCTGCTCCCTGCTCTGGCTCTGGTGAATTTTCTCACCCTCCCGCACTTTTGACTGTACCCAGGGCTTGTATAAATAAATAAATCTTGAAAAAAAAAAAAGAACATATATGAAAAGCTCATATATGAAAACTCCATGGTAAAAGATTAGTCAACACCATACTGAAGATTCTATAGTCAGGGAGATTAAGTAAGAAAGGGAAATGAAGGACTTACAGATTTGAAAGAAAAAGTAAAAACTGGTTTACAGATAACACAATTTTGCATACTGAATATCTTTTTAAAAAATTTAGAAATTTGATCCAAAAAAACTGACCTCAATGTAGAGAAAAATTCTGTTTTGTCATAAGTGTAACAGGTCTTCGTGTGTGTTCCAGACCTGAACTGCTTGAACATTAAATGCATTCCTGATATTAAAGGTGATTATCTAAACCAATAATGGCAATTAACAGGATTTTCTTTCTGCATTTAGCTGGAATCCATGAAACATCATCTCTCAAAATCAAAAAATATCTCATATACCTCTTACTTTAAATATTAACATTAAATATTGAGAAACTCATTTGTTACCATTCAGAATCAATGTGACTTAATTTTTTTCTTACTTATCTTGAAGGCTTACATATGATAACTAATGGACACAAAGCATCCAAGCCAAAGGGTTAATTACTCTGCATTGTTTTTAGTGTAACAAGTATAAATATGTATAGCTAGCTTTAAATCTAATAGCTGGGACTCCCCGGTGGAGCAGCGGTTTGGAGCTGGGCTGCGAAGCTGCCCTCAGCCTCTGCAGCACCGGTTCGGTTCAGTCCGGTCCCCGGCTGCAGGGCAAGGGTCCCACATGGCGCGAAGACCTCTTCTGCCGCCCTCACTGCTCCCCTCAGCAGTGTATTTCATCACTCTGCCTGTTCTGTTCCCCGCTGTCTCTGGTGAATTCTCTCACCCTCCAGCCCTTCTGACTGTATCCAGTGCTTGTATAAATAAATAAATCTTAAAAAAAAAAAAGAAGAAGAAGAAGAAGAAGAAGAAGCTCTATGGCCTCAAACTTCATTATTTAAAAAATAAATAAATAAATAAATAAATAAATAAATAAATAAATAAATCTAATAGCTAAAGCATTTCATTAAAAATGCTTTACTGTAAAAAATAAAATGTTTTAGTGCAGAAACAGCAATAAAAAGATAAATTCAAATTATTCAAAGTGAAAGTAATTCAGAACATTTTTCTTAAATTTAGGCATACTTTAGTGAAATAGTGAAATACTGACAGTTCTAGAGGATGTTTTTAATGGGAATACTATCACATAAAGAAAAGACAACTTAATTTTTATCTAACTTAGCAAAATACACCTTCTTTGTTTGACAGTGTTAACAGGACAATAACACAGTCAGTAAAATACTTAATGGAAATGATAGCCTTTGCATCTGGGTACAATTGATCAGCTTTAACAAAGACCCCTCATTTCCATGTCTTTAGTCACTATCGCTGTAGCTTTGGGTATATTGAAAATTTAAGAAATCCACATACAAAAAAACTTTAGCACTAATCAAGGAGTTCAACATGATTGCAGAATATAAGACCAATAAGTAAAATTCAGTTGTATATGTAAAGACCAGCAATGAACAATCTGAAGATGAAAAGAAGGAAATTATCATTTACAATAGCATCAAAAATAGTAAAATGTTAAGGAATTAAATTAACAAAACAGCATAAGACTGGTATGTTGAAATCTGCAAAACACCTTTGAAATAAATTAAGCTCACCTAAATACATGGAAAAGACATTCTGTGTTCAGATACGGTTAGATTTAATTTTACTATGCTGGCAATATTTCCCAGATTGTACAGATTCATCTGTTTTTGTAATTGTTCTTTGGTGTTTGCTTTCTTTTTACAAACATTCGTAACTTTATCCTAAAATTCATCTGGAAATATAAGCGCTGGAGGGAAATGCAAGGGATCCACAATAGCCAAAGCCATCTTGAAAAAAGAAGATCAAAGTTGCTGGGCTCACAAATTGCAATTTCAACATATACTAAATCACTACAATAATCAACACTATGAAGTACTAGCATAAGGATATATATATATAGACCAATGAAATTTCATAAAGTCCAGAAATAAACCCATATAGTTATGGTTAATTAATTTTGACTAGTATGACAACACTTCAATGTGCATAGAAAAAATCACCTTGCCAAAAGACAGTGGGACAACTACATATTCATAAGCAAAAGAATGAATGTGGATCCCTGCCTCACAGCATATACAGAACTGACAATGAATCAAAGATGTAAATTAAAGAATTGAAACAGTTAAAAATTCTTTTTTTAACACTTTTTTAAAAAGATTTATTTATTTATTTATACAAGAACTGGGGAGGCCCACAATTAAAAATTCTTGGTGGATAGCAACAAAACTGAAGATTATTGAGCTTCATAAGACTCCATCAAGAATGTGAAGAGGGCCTCCCCAGTGGCGCAGGGGGTTGAGCACAGCTCTGTGAAGCTGTCCACAGCCTCTGTAGCGCAGGTTCGATCCCCAGCCAGCCAGTGAGGGTCCCACATGGCGCGCAGACCTCTCCTGCAGCCCACTGCTCCCCTCAGCAGTGTCCTTCGGTCCTTCTGCCTGCTCTGCTCCCCTCTCTGGCTCTGGTGAATTCTCTCACCCTCCCGCGCTTCTGACTGTACCCAGTGCTTGTATAAATAAATAAATAAATCTTTAAACGAAAGAAAGAAAGAAAGAAAGTTCCTATATTCCAACAACAAAGACAAAGAATTCAACTTAAAATGGAGGAAGTGTTACTGAGCAGCCCCGATATAAAAACGGGTTGCCTGGCTATGGGTCCTTACCCGCGCACTTAAAAGGGACTTATTAATACTCCACTGCAGGCACACACAAAAGGTTAATAAAAAGGTTTATTTACAAGGGAAGGGGAAATGAAGAAATGTACAACTCAGGGAGAAAATAGGGAAATAAAGTGTTTAATGCGTCCTACCGGATCCGCCGACCAGGAAACCCAAAGGCACTCCCGAGAGCTGGCTGAATGCTGCGAGCTGGCGGAGAGCCAAAAAGGCGCCCCCCCACCCCCCAAAGCCCAAGTGTCTGGCTTTATACCAAACCTGGCTGCTTAACCGTTAGGAGTTGGCGCCTCAACTCCATCTGGGGTTTCCAAAGACTACACGGAGCCAGAGATGCAAAAGCAAAAAGGCTTTATTGCCAGCTTAAGCTAGGATCCGACTCTGCCTGGTGTACTGACTCAGCAGCCTCATCAGGTTGAGAGAAGGAACCCCTCCAGGGATGACAAGCTGTTTTTTATACAAAGCTGACAGGATGAGGGGACCTTTCATAACAGGGACCAAGCTCAACCTGATTGGGTACTTCTCTTTGGCAACAGCTAAGTTTTGTTTACCCTTGCCTTGTGGTTCTTGTGGTTTTACCCTGAAAGGAAACTTGGGCACAGCTGTGCTCTTCAAAATGATCGTCTTCCTTAAAATGCCTGCTGTCTTGCTATGCCTAGTCCTCCAATATCTTACAACCCCACCCTCAGGTTCCAGCAACTTCCCTTTGGTGGTGATGGGATTTGTCTCTCCCAGTGTTTTTTGGCTTTGGTCTGGAGTGGGGGGTGGAGTCCACAAAGCCTGTACGCAATTAGCTTTAGGACATACTTTTCCCCCTAACAGAAGGATCTTAATAGAAATGACTCCAAAAAGAGACAATACATACATGAAAAATGTGCAACATCACCAGTTTTGGAAAAGGCAAAACAAAACCACAAAGAGACACCATGCTGCATCCACCAAGATAGCTGTAATTGAAAAATACTGACAATAACAAGTGGTGAAAGTGGAACCTCTAACACTGCCTATGTGGATATAAATGGTGCAACTTCTTTGGAAAACAGCTGCACAGTTCTTAAAAAAATTGAACGTGGGCCTCCCCGGTGGTGCAGTGGTTGAGTGCTGGGTTGCGAAGCTGCCCGCAGCCTCTGCAGCGCTGGTTCGATCCCCGGCTGCTCCCCGGCCACCGGAGGAGGGTCTCACATGGGATGCAGACCTCTCCTGCCACCCCCTGCTCCCCTCAGCAGTGTGCTTCGGTTCTTCTGCCTGCTCTGCTCCCTGCTCTGGCTCTGGTGAGTTCTCTCACCCTCCCACGCTTCTGACTGTACCCAGTGCTTGTATAAATAAATAAATCTTTAAAAAAAAAAATTGAACGTAAGATTTGTCACTTGCAGAAATTCTACTCCCATGTATGTACCCAAGAAAATAGGAAACATAATACTCAGACAAAAACTTGTACAAAACAGTTCACAGTGGTCCTATTCAAACTAGCCCCCAAGTGGAGACAACCCAAATGCCCATCCACTGATGAAAGGACAAATACAGTATAAAGTCCATATAATGGCATATTATTCAAATACATGTGAACAAAATACCATTTATGCACCTGTATTAATGAACCTTGAAAACACCTACAATTGAAAGAAGCTGGACACACCAAGCCACTTCATGTATGATACTTTTTTGTTAAATGTCTGAAATAGGTAAATACATAGAGAGAAGGTAGATTCGTGTCCTTGCCAAAGACTGACTGACAGTGTGTGTGAGATGAATAGTTACTAATTAATGATATGAGACTTGTTTAGAAGAACTGAAAATGTTCTGAAATTTAAAGTGACATCTGTACAGGGCCTCCCCGGTGGCGCAGCGGTTGAGCGCTGGGTTGCGAAGCTGCCCGCGGCCTCTGCGGCGCCGGTTCGATCCCCGGCTGCTCCCTGGCCACCAGAGGAGGGTCCCACATGGCGCGCAGACCTCTCCTGCCGCCCGCTGCTCCCCTCAGCAGTGTACTTCGGTCCTTCTGCCTGCTCTGCTCCCTGCTCTGGCTCTGGTGAATTCTCTCACCCTCCTGCGCTTCTGACTGTACCCAGTGCATGTATAAACAAAACAAACAAACAAATAAATAAATAAATAAAACATGCCTCTATTTTAAAAAAAAAAAAAAAAAAAGTGACATCTGTACAAATTTTTGAACACACTATGACCACACTTACAAAAGGTGGATTTTATGACATGAAATGTGCCTTAATAAAAACATTTACTAGTTAGAAAAAATACCCACCTGCGCAAAGAAACCATTGACTCATGATGAATGAATGAATCAGTCAATCAAAATTTACCCAGGAAAGATGCAGAACTTGAGTAAAGGATACTAAGGCAGTTATTATTACTGCCTTCATATGTTCAGATGTTACACAGATACCTGAACCAAACTGAATTTCTAGAAATGGAGACTAGCGCATATTAAAGGTACAACAGGATGAATGACTGATGCAACCCTGCAAAACAAACTATTAGGAACTAGATGGTCCAGCCACAGAAACTATACAAAACCAGAACAACAGAATAAAAACAAACAAAAATGGTGTCTCCCCTGGTGGCGCAGCAGTTGAGCGCTGTGCTGAGAGGCTGCCCGCAGCCTCAGTTCGTTCCCCGGCCACCGGCGAGGATCCCACAAAAAACAAAACAAAACAAAAATGAACACGTGTCAGCGGCTGCGCAGCAGCTTCGTGTCTCCTACTATATAAGCTCGTTCTGCTCCTGCAAGTGTGGAAAGGGGAGGAAAGATCAGGGAAGGGGCAGAAAGTATACATGAAGATTTACAATAGCTAAGCTTTGAAAACAGCCTAAATGCCCAAAAATAGATGACTGGATCAAGAAGATGTGGTCCATATACACCATGGAATATTACTCAGCATTCAAAAAAGATAAACACATGCAATTTGCAGCCACATGGATGGCGCTGGAAGGATCATGCTCAGCGAAATAAGCCAGAAAGAAAAAGAAAAATACCAGATGGTCTCACTCATAGCAGGAATCTAGAAAACTTAAATAAGGGACCAGGAAAATGAATAACTATAAGAGAGTGAAAATCAAAATCAACAAAAAACTATGAACCAGAGACACTTTTTGGGGGGTGGGGGGCGGGAGGGGAGGGATTGGGGTCAGAATGGGGGGGTTGCAATTGTATGGGGAATATAAAAATAAAATTTATTATTAAAAAAAAAAAGAAAAGAAAGTATATATGAAGAACTGGTGGATGAATTTTTTTCCTAAATAGCAGAAACTGTCACCCTTCTCATCCACGCATTTCACCGAGCCCATTTCAGAAGGAAGGCTGCCCCACGCAGTGAGGGGGACAACGAAGAATCCGAAGCAAAGGTGGCCAAGCACTGACTTTAATAACTGGGGGTTGAACGAGCCGGTCTCCACTGTCGGGACCTTCCCCTAGAAATGCCCCCAGGGAAACGCGCCCGCGACACTCCCCAGGCGGGAGGGCGGGTCCTCCGGCTCCGCACCTCACCGGCCCCGAACCCCAGGCTTCCCGCCGCACCCCCTATTCCCGCCCGCTCCCCTCCCGGCCCCCGGGTGCTCCTGCGTGAGCCTCACCGCCTCTCCCCGCGCCGGCCCAGCCCTGTCGCCGTCATCTTCACACCGAAGCTTCCCCGGAGTCTCCTCAGCCGCCGCTGTCAGGGGAAGGCGGGCCGCGCGGGGAAGACCGACCCGAGACCCTCGGGCGCAGCCGCAGCCGCAGGCGAGGGGGCGGGGGAGGGGCCGGGGGAGAGGACCTGGGCCCGCGCCGAGGCGCCGCCGGTAGGAGGCGCCAGAAAACGACGCCTTCAGCAGCGCGCCCCGGGCGCCCGGAGGCTGAAGGGGGCGGGGCCCTCGGAGGCGGAGCTTCGGGGGCGGGACCAGGATTGGGGCGTGGTTAGGGGCGGGGCCAGGCCAGCCAGCGGGGCGCGGGGCGGTGCTCCCTGGAGCTCCCACTTCCCGCGCGGGCTGGGAGTCAGCCTGACCTGGTCTCGCTCCTCCGTGGCCTGTCCTGTCTGCGTGCATCTCATAAGTAACCCATCATCTGATGTGAGAATCACCAAAGAGGTGACACGGATTATTCTTAGAGACTAAGGCAAAGATGAAAGTCATCTTTGTCAGAAATAAGCCTATGACCTCCCCCTTCAGGTGGTCACCTCTTTCCAGAACTAGGCGCTGACAGTGGCGGAGAGACTGTAACTCCAGTGCCTCTGCATCCTCACAGAAAACAGTCCCGGCCAGTGTGTGCGCGGACCTGGACTTTATCCTCTGACCAAGAGTCCCACGGATATAGACGGGAGGCTGAGGTCAAGGGCAGCCACACAGTCCTGCAGCCCAGCCTGCTCCAGCCTGAGGACACACCCGTGTACAGGCACCTTCCACCACCGGGGCCCCAGGAGTGAGACCCCAGCAGGGGTGGCACCTTGAATGCCTGCAGGACCCACTACAGAAGTGAAAGGGGTGCTCAGAGAAAGGTACTCTTCTGGGGTGCTCTTCTGGGGGTCTGAGTGGACCTGGGTAAGGAGAAAGAAATGACCCCTGATTAACCCAAGTGGAAAAAGAGGCCCCTTCAGAGTCACTGCAGAACCACCACCAGGAGTCAGTCCTCTGCCTGGGCGCCCCTCTCTGCCCCTACTGTATCGCTTTGAAAATGTACGGAACAGGACCTTCCTGGTGGCACAACAGGTTAAGTACAGCACTATGAAGCAATCCGCAGACTCTGCAGCATGAGTTCAATCCCCAGCCCGCCAGGGAGCAACCCATATGGCGCAGCAGACCTCTCCTGTCTCCCCTGATGCTCCCCTCAGCAGTGTATTTCATTCAGTCTGCCTGTTCTGTTCCCCACTCTGTCTCTGGTGAATCCTCTTACCACGACCCTGCCCCTGCATCGCTGGCCTGTACCCCAGCTCTTGTATGCATAAATAAATAAATCTTTAAAAAATTTAAAAAATAAAATGTATGGAACAATTCAAGCATCAACATATTTAAAACTTCTCCAGGTGACCAGAATGAGTTGCGAGGGCTAGCCATTAATTTGTCATTTCTAAAATAGGTTGCATATGTTTCTGGGGAAATGGAGGCCCAAAGAAGGTAATAAATTACCCAGGATCCTGCAAAGATTAAATGATCACAGGGACAAGATTCCTCTTTAGCAGGTCATGTCTCTGGAAGTATGTTGCACGCTTGGTATAAATTAACCAAAAACAAAAGCCCATGTCTTATTTCATATGCCTTGGGCTTTGCGCCTGAGCACGTATCACAGCAACTTGGGAGTAGACAATATTACATTTGAGGAAACTGAGGCCTAGACAGATGCTGTCACTTGTCCCTTTTTAAAGAAAATCAGAAGTCAGACATAAATCAGGCTCTGCATTGGATGGTAGCAAAACTATTTTTATCTCTATCTAGTATCTTCATCAGACCCAGCATGTCCATCTCAAGAAAGAGGCAATTCCTGTTTACTCATCTGGTAGAGGCAGGAATAGAGGAGAACATGGATAAACCTGGAAAAGGGGTCGGAGAGTTTCAGAAAAGGAGGCCTTCGGGAAGGTGAAGATGTGGGAGCCAGTCGGCATGTTGTAAAAGGACACAAGTCCGGCCTCACAGTCCAGGAAAACCCCCACAACCAGGGGCCGCTTTCTCAGAGAAAGGGAAGTTGGGGGTGAGGTCAGGGCTGCATAGTGGTTCCCTTTGCAGAGCCTGATGGCCCAGACTTCAGACTGAAATTTGAGATTCCTCGCAGATGCCCGGCACACATTTTCCAGACAAACTCCTACGTCCCACTGAGTTCCTTCTCCCACATCCACCTCAAAGTAATGCCTTCCAGAGGTGAAGCCCTCACAGCCCAGGACACAGGGTAACACACTAAATCTTCTGGAAGTGCTAAGCTTCATCTGGGCATCTCCACAAGCCACTTGTCTTCGATCCTTAGACACAGTTAGGCCAACATGAGCTGTATCTGCATCCAGTGTCACGCTGACTAAAAAAAATAAAACAAACAATCAAAACCAAAACAAGAAATGTGTGTTATGTCTTATTTTTAAATAAACCTAGGCTATGCTCAATTGCAAACTTTTTCTTACTACTAGCTGTGTGAGTCATTCTCTAAAACTTTCTAAATATAGATACTCTATGGGGGTGGGGGGCAGGGAAAGGAGAGCCTGGGGTCAAAATAAGGGGGTTGTAATTGTAAGGGGAATATAAAAATAAAATTTAAATAATAAAAAATAAAGAACAGAGATTATTAGAGGAAAAAAATTTAAAAAATTAAACTTTCTAAATATAAAGCAGAAATCATCATATTGTCACAAAGAATCATGAGAAAGATATTAGAATGAGCTAATATAAGATTAGTGTTTGGTGAAATTCCTGGTAAAAGTTAAGTGATAAATATGTGATAATAAAAGTAAATGTCATCATTATTTTCATCATCCTCATCATCACCATCTTAGTCACTCAGAGAAACCAAGGACCAGAACTCCCCAGGGTGGACATGGTTACTGTCCTCTCTAAAGCCCTTCCTCTCCCAGGTGGGAATCATGGAGATAAGAGTAGACAAGTCCTTCCCTTTACTAATAACCACCCACCTGAAGATCAGAAAAGAAAATGATAAAGTCACGTCATAGCTTGTGGCTGAAGTCCCAGTTATTTCCCCAGGTGTCAAGACACACGCCAGCTCCATGGCTTGTAAGTAAAGCTCTTCTGTCTTGTTTCAGATAAGGTTCCATGGGGATTAGTGAAAGAAAATAAACTCAACACTGATAGCACAAAAAGTATATAACTAGAATCAAGTTGAATAGAAAAATATGTGACAAACTGAAGTTGATATTGGCCAGTAGAGTATATTGAAATGAAAAGAGCTAAGGTGCCTCCTTGGTGGTGCAAGGGTTAAGCACAGCACTATGAGGCTATCTGCAGCCTCTGCAGCATGAGTGTGATACTGGCGGCCAGCCAGGGAGCTACCCACATGGCACAGCAGACCCCTCCTGTCTTGCCCACTGCTCCCCTCAGCGATGTATTTCAGTCAATCTGACTGTTCTGCTCCCCGCTCTGTCTCTGGTGAATCCACTCATTCCCAGCACCTCTGGCCTACACACCAATTCTTCTACGCATAAATAAATAAATCTTAAAAAAAAATAAAAATGAAGAGAGCTAAGGAGGTTCCCGCGTCAGTTAATCACCTGCTGCGTAACTGGGTAACACACGACAGCTGGTCACAAATTGATGAGTAGTGACTTCCAGAAGCTGAGGGCACTTCCAGGAAACAGCTGGTAAGAAGTCAGGGCCTTATAACCATGAAGAAATAAATTCTGCCAACAACTGGAAGAAGATTCCCCAACTGATCCACCAGGTGAGCCCATAACTGCATTGTGTGACCCCACCTGAGCTGGGCACAGATTTCTGACACACGATACTGAAAGATGTGGTTTTTGCTTTAAGCCACTAAATATTTTTTAGCAGCAGGTAACTAAAACATTCACCAAATCATATCCAATTAGGTTTAATTTTGTGGACAAGTGTGTTATGGAAAATATTTAGTTCTCAAAGCATTTGAATTTTGTAATTGTAGATCAGAGATGATGGAAATACAGCAAGCACTGATTAAAGGAATCCAGGGAGGAAACATGAGATTTGCAATTAGCAAAACATGGTTTTCCTTATGATTCTAACATTCACCATATTGTCTGGGTCAAGGCCCTAAAATATTTGCATCACAATAAAGTATCTTCACCTACCTTTCTTGCACTGTGGTCAGAGATGACTGAGAAGTTAACAATAAACATTATATACCAGACACTGTTGTAAATACTTTATGTGTTGATGCTCTTTACTTTCATGATGAAACCAAAGAACTGAAAACTGTTAATATTCTCAGTGATTAGGAAAAATGAGGAGAGAGCCTGGACTGGTGCAGCTGATGAACCGGAGACAGGGAGTGTGAAGGGCCTATACAGATCCCCAGCAGGCTGTGTCCCATGTAAGCGCTGGAGCCTCCTGACCCGGGGGAGTAGACAACTCCACAACAACTCAACAATCTCTCTGGCTGTGAGTCTCTCCAGGGGCAGGTAGTGAGCGGGGTTACCACGACGGTATCTTTCAAGTATAACATGTAAAGAATTCTTGGCTTTTCATACCTTGGTAGCTCTTTAGCATTTTCTTCACATCCAAGTATAGCTCAGGAACATTACACACAGTGTGAAGCTCCAGAGAGACGGCCTCTGGCACTTCCAGCTCCACAGCCACACTCCTAGGATCAGCAGAGGACAGAGATATCTTCAGTGGGATGGTCCATTTGGCCCTAAGGACCCTCACCCTGCCCACCGGTGCTCCTACGGCACTTACCCACTCAAGGTGTCTTTCACATCCTACAGAGAAACAAGGACACAAGGGTAAGTGCGGGTACATCACTATTTCACGGGGTATGGTACATGGGGCTAATCTCTACAAACATTCCTCCAAGAATAGAATGACCCAGCCATAGACATTGCTAGAAATCAGGTAGACTGATACCTTCTGTGCCCTAAGGTAGCAGCATGTACGTACACAGTGTATGACCCTCTGAGTTGGTAACTTCCTTCCTGTGACCTGTGCCTCTAATCACAGCAGCCTGTGGGCTACTTAGGGGAAAGGCCAGGAGCTTCCCATACTCCCTTACAAGATTTGCATCAGTGACCTAAAATCCTTCCGAGGAGCTCATCACTCTTCACAGAGGGCCTTAGAGATGAACACAGGTAGAGCCCCTGAGATGGGCCATGTAGGTGGTGGCAGCAGGTGTCACATAATGTTAGAGCTGTCATGCTACATTCTTACCCTCAGAGTGTGACCTCCACTTCTATAGAACCTAGAAGAACTAGCTCCAGGCATTTGTCATGAAGCTGAAAGAAGGTCCAGGAAGAGTTCTTTGGGTCTTGTCATATACAAATAAATCAGGGAAAATGATGATAGTCATGTTGGCTGTCCCCCTTTACACTCAAGTCACCTGGAGAATTGTCCAGGAAACAGACCAACACACAGGGTTCAGTGTACATGGAACAGACACAAATGGCAGCAAATGATACCCTACAATTCATATTGGACAATATGGAATCAATTGGCCTATAAAAGCAGAAGGAGTATATTTTTTGATTCATATGTAGTTACCGTATAGACTACTGGAGGCCTCTCTTCAAATATTGATAAAGAAATGCTACTTTAAATCCCCACAATAATTCCCCACTTCCCAGAGAAGCTGGAAGACCTTGCCATCTTCCCCTGCTTCTCTCCACTGTCCCCGTAACACTCGGGTGCAGAAGCCTCTTCTGTGTTCTCCCAGGGCACAGCCTCACCTGCAGCAAATCCTGGGCTGGGCCTTGACATTTCTTCTCTAGTTCCCGGATATGGCTCTTGAGTTCCTGGCTCTGCTTTTCCAGACTCGCCTCACTGTCCTGCAGAATCTTCAGAATCTGCTCTTTTTCTTTCTCCAGTCTCCACAGATAACATTTCTCCTCAACACGGAGGAAGTTGTGCAGATTCTCAAAGTCAGACTGGATTTTCTTTCTCTGGAGCTTTATCTTCTCCTAGAATGAAGAAGATATGCTCAAAAGGTGCAAACAGAACAAACTTCATTTGTGGATGAAATGAGGAAAAAATGAGGTACATCTCTAAAATGGGAAACTCTCATCCTTAAAATTGTATGGAACTCTGTTACAACATGGATGAGCCTTGAAGATACATGGTCAGTGAAGTAAGTTAGAAAAACGGACAATTTTGATTGCTTTTATAAAGGTACCTCGTTAAGTTTGAAAACAGAAAGTGGAAATGTGGGTATGAAGTGGGAGAAGGGAGAGAGGGGACAATGGAGATACTGTTTAGTGGTGATCAAGTGTCATGTTGGAAAAATGAACAAGTTCTGCAAATGGAGAGTAGAGTTAGGGACACCCCAATATGAAGATGATGCCAATGAGATGAACAGTGGATGCTGAAAATGCTAAATTTCATGTTTATTTTAAAGATCACAGACACTTATAAAAAGTAAAGTGTTTGGGGATACTGTGATATTTTTTGCCATGAGTCATCTGAGGTGGAGGAACGTGCATGTTCCTGCTGCAGAGTGAGGCCCAGGGGGCAGGACTCAGATGTGGGAGAGGCTGCCCCAGTTCTCTACAGTCAACGCAATAATTTCCTTCTCCAGCAGCCAAATCACAAGATAAGGAGGCACAGGCCACCCGATAATGTCATTAGGGAAGGAGGGCTGCTGCACCTCCCCATGCAGTGACCTTTGGTCCACGGTAGAGGGCCCTGGTGAAATGCTAGTGAACCCACTTTAATTTGGAATGTACGAAAATGTCTCTATCCTGGGGAATTTTGTGAAGCAAAAGTTTGTGATAAACATCACCACGACTAGACATTAACCGAAGTAGGCGAGTCCATGACTATCAACAGAGGGAGGTCTGAGGCTGAATTTGATCACAGATACCAGAAATATTCATCCACAAAGCTTGTGTCCACTTGAGCCTCCTTATGTATAAGACTGACAGAAACCACATGATCTCTCTTGTGGGACTCAATTTTCATTTGGAAAACACAGAGTTGCAACTTCCACTGAGGCTTCCTCAGTTCATGGGGTGCTTCAGTGACTGTGATGTTGTGGAGAAGGGAAGCTGATATGTGTAGGAGACACATACAGGACAGCTAGACTTTGGCATTGACATGGTTTCCCTACAAATTTGCAATGATGGAAGTTCTCACAACCTGAGATTCCAGAAAGGCAGGAAGTATGACTGTCCTTGAGAGCTTAAATTTAACATCCACACACAAAGGACCAGGACAATGGCTTGGAAGAGACCCTGAGGGAGACATAACAACTAACCAGTCTGCAGGCTGAGTGCCCATGAGGGATCACATCAGTATATCTGGAAGGCATAGGCCTCTGGTGCAGGAGACTGGTCAGACCTGGAAAGTCTTAGCGGAAACACAGTGTAAATTAAAAAAAAAAATTTGCTCTTATTACAGCTCTATCCCATCATCAGTCTCATAAAGATGATAGTATAACGTCACCTGGACTGCCCATGTATACAGAGCTCACAAAGGTTTTTGAACCTCGAAGGATGAATATGGACCCTGTATTGTGGTAAATGTGCCAAAGTGATGAGGTTGAATTCTTTTAACCATGAACTTATATAAACTATGAGGAATTTCCAATTTCCAATTTAGTCAAGGATGGTTCTAGGTAAGAAAGGTCAAAATTCTGCTTCTCTGGACTGAAGTATCAGGAATCCCAGGGAATTACTATTGAAAGGCTGAAAAAGAAAGGAGATAAATTATCATAGAATGTTTCTTCCTTGGATGTCATTTATTCAGTCTGGTGCAGTAAGAAGGAACCAGCATGTGCTGTGTGAAAACATCCTCCCCTCTGCCTAGGCTTTAGGATTCACAATAGTTTGAAATCAATAAACTCAATTTCTTACCTGCCATTTTCTTATTTGTTTCTTCGTGATCAACTTCAGACCCTGACATTGGTCATCTTGTTCCCTCAGTTTTGTCACAGCTTTCTGGAGCTTTTCCTGATAATAATACGGTGAAACAATTATAATCAATCTGACAAAACTTCTTCAAGCACTTGAGTCTAACCCTCCAGGATGGTTAGACTGACCTTAAGTGTTGTTCAATCCTTATGCTTTCAGAGAAACACCCTGAGGAAGGTCTGTGCAGTAAGCCTGGACCACTATTAGGACTTTTACCATCATTTCTGTACGGCCAAGATGGAGGCTTAGGAAGGGGTTGAGTGACATGCACTGGGGCCCATCGCTGGCGGGTGGCTGAGCTGTGATTCCAAGCTCATCTGCTGACCCAGAGTCAGCTGACCCAAAACCACAGTTCTGCCAGGGAAATGCTGCACGTGGCAAAGATAATAACATACACAGATGACTTTCTCTAAATTTCTGCATATGGTGAGTTGTGTGTCCTTGCAGACTCTCTTCCCACTGGCTGGGATCCTAGTCACCACCCAAGCAAGGGCACTCCAGACTCTCTTGTTTTGCTGATTTCTTTACCCTGTTGACTCCAGGATCCCTAAAAGGTGGTGTGTCTTTCCCTATTTTCAGATTCTGTCACATGGCCCTGAACATTGTGTTTTCTTGAATACACACAAGCGAAGATAAAACAGGCTGGTGTGGATTGGGCACACTGTATTCTACACAGGGTCATCACAGCAAGAGTGAATAAGGACAAGACTTTGATCATCCACTAAATGTTAGTACAGTTAAGAATTTATATTTTGGGGACTCATCGTAAACCATTTGTCAGAAAAATGACACAATAAAAGTCATATTTCAAGATCATAATCTCTGATTTAAGTGAAGAAAATCTCATGTCTGAGAGTTCAACATGAGAGCAGGTACTTGCTCAAGCCCTCAGCCCACCCACTCACCTTGTAGCCTGGACATACGTCCTCCACAAGAGCCATGCTGTGTCCGCTGTGCTGGGGGGAGCGCTCACAGCGCCAGCAGAGGAGCCTCATATCATCCTCACAGAACAGGCGGAGCTGCTCCCCATGCTCCTCACACAGCCTCTCACTGTCTATCTCCTTAACGGTCTGAATGAGGTTTTCCAGTTGCTTGTTGGATCGGAGACTTTCCCTTTGAAATGGTGCCCGGCACAGGGGACATTGGGGCTCCCTCAGGGATGATGTCACTTGTAGGTTCTCAAGTGTGCCCTCTATGCACTGGCAGCAGAAGCTGTGCCCACAGTCGATGCTCAAGGGCTCTGTCATCATCTCCAAACAGATGGAGCACATGGCTTCCTCCCTCATCTTCTTGATAGTGGTAGCTAAGGCCATGGCTTTTCTTCAAAGGCTACAATATCAGTTTGGAAGCAGAGATGAAGCTGTCAGAATTTTTCAGTGATGGAACTACACAGCAACTTGGTTATTCAGCCTCCAAAGGCCTTCAAATCTGTCTGGAGAAGAAATGGTTTGGATTTCGAAGAGGCAAACCCTTTTGCTGGGTTGTAGAAATGGTGATCCCTATCATAACTGGCTACTAAAATTTAACTTACATAAAGTGAGAAAATTTAAATTTTCTAATTCTACTTCCCACTAACTCTGTTTCATTTGCTTCATATCTGCCTGTGGATTGGCTACATGGCACCCCAGAGAGAGAGCATCTATCATAGGAAGTGAAGAGAGATAGAAGCAAGGTAAGCTTTCCCATAAAAATTGCAGGCAGAGAGGGAGAACTAAGTCAGGGAGAGTGAATCTCTTTCCCCATCTATCAAACATCAAGAATGATAATTAGGGCCTCCCTGGCAGCGCAAGGGGTCAAGACATAACCTATGAAGCTATCCACAGCCAGTGCATCACGAATTTGATCCCCGGCTGGCCAGGGAACCACCCTAAATGGCGCAGCAGACCTCTCCTGACTTGCCCGCTGCTCCCCTCAGCAGTGTATTTCAGTCTGCCTGCCTGCTCTGTTCCCCACTCTGTCTCTGGTGAATCTGCTCTCCCCCACACACATACACTTCTGGCCTGGACCCCAGATCTTGTATGCATAATTAAATAATTTTTTTTTAAAAAGAATGATAATTAGTGCCAAATCACTTCCTTATTAAGTAGTAATACCACTTAGGAATTGGGTAATCTACGAAGGATTCAAATGAGACAAACACATTTGACTCTACTTCTCCCCACCTCCCTCCCCCAATTCTCCCAACCCCAACTCCCACACATAAAACATAAAAAGGCAATAATTTAATAAAGATTCAGTGGGAAATGGCAATAGGATAAAAACAAACCAAGGAAACCAGAACAGTGTCCCTTCTGTCATTCCTAGGTGACCTGAGAGAAAGAATCCAAAAGTGCTGGAAAGTAAGAGTTGGTACTGGGAGCAGAGCCAAGGACACCTGGGAAATAGCAGTCTTAGGAACTGTCTAGCAGGGGAAGTTCCCTGTGGGAGAACCCAGGGAGTTTGCAGGATCCAGATATGGGGAAAGTGGGAAGCAGTGGGGAAGGTGGGGACATGTGGGACATTGGGTACTAGACACCCCTAGTGTCTAACAGTGATGATCTGAGAGCCAGACAGGGAGGAAAGACAGGAGCAAAGAGGCCTACCCCTGCCCTGCAGCTAGGTGCTCAGAGAATCTAGTCCTGCCCTCTTCCCACAGGGAGGCTGTGGGGCGAGAATGGAATCAGGGGAAATGTTAGTGACCTTTTCTTTGAAGTGACAGTGTTCAGAATGAAAAACTGGCATCAATTAAGTTACTGGCTGGGTTATTTCTCTCTAATGCAATAATCAGGACAACTCTCTTCAGATTTAGAGAATTACTGCTCTATTTGACTCCATGGCATATTATTTCCACAAAGGGCGTATCAGGCTTCTCTCTGCCAGGGTTGCAGTGCTCCTGGGGAGATGACCGCCCTCCTCTGACCCTCATTGCCCTCGGCCTTCACTGAAGGTGAGTGAAAATCACATGAGGTGGGACATGGAGTCTGTGAAAGAAGAAGAGACAGGGGAAAGTGATGGAAAGCAAGTCCTGACCATTTTCACATTCCAGGGCACCCTCATCGCCACCCTCTCTCTCTCTCTCTCTCTCTCACAAACACACACACACACACACACACACACACACACACACGTTAGCACTTCCTTTAAAAACGTTGGCCTACACTACCTCTCACTATGCACAAAAATCAACTCAGAATGGATAAAAGATTCCGAGATAAAAGATACCTGAAACCATAAAATATATAGAAGAAAATATAGGCAAAACACTACAAGACATACATCTTGGTAACAACTTTAAAGGCTCATCATCCAAAGCAAAGAAAGTCAAGAAAAAGATAAACACCTGGTATTACATCAAACTGAAAAGCTTCTGTAACTAAAAAGAGACACCCCACTAAACTAAAATGAGACATCCCACTGACTGGAAAAAAATCTTGGCACTCCATCCAACTGATAAGGGACTGACCACAAAGATATTCAAAGAACTCACATGACTCAACAAGAACAAAGTAAACAATCTAGTCAAGAAATGGCCAGAAGAACTTAAAAGACAGCTCTCCAAAGAGGAAATGCAAATGACCAACAAACATATAAAAAAATTCAACATCCCTTACAATCAGGGATATGGAAATCAAAACCACAATGAGATACTACCTAACACCAGTAAGGATGGCACATATCAAAAAAACTAGCAACAACAAAAGTTGGCGAGGAAGTGGTAAAAAAGAACCCTCCCACATTGCTGGTGGGAGTGCAAACTGTCCCAACCACTATGGAAAGCTGTCTGGAGGTTCCTCAGTCTACTAAAAATAGAGCTGCCATATGACCCAGCAATTCCACTCCTTGGGATCTACGCAAAGGACACAAAAACATTAATTCAAAAGAATACCTGTACCCCTATATTTATTGCAGCACTATTTATAATAAGTAAAACCTGGAAACAACCCAAATGCCCAAAAATAGATGACTGGATCAAGAAGATGTGGTATAGATACACAATGGAATATTACTCAGCAATCAAAAAAAGATAAATTCATGCCATTTGCAGCAACATGGATGGAGGCTGAAGGAATTATGCTCAGTGAAATAAGTCAGAAGGAAAAAGAAAAATATAGGATAGTTTCACTTATAGGAGGAATATAGGGAAACCACATAAGACATCAGGGGAAAAAATAACAACACAAAACTCAACAAAGCAAAAACAGACGATTATAAACCAGAGACATACTGCAGGGGAGGAGGAGGGAGAGGGATCAGAAGGAGGAAGGGAGGAGCACAGGGGACTGTGGTGATGGTGCACGGGTGCATTGGGGAAGGGAATTCTATGGGGACTACACTTGGTGGGGAGGGAAGTAAACATTGTTTAAAAATGAACAATGATGTAAAATATATATAAATTAAAAAAAAAAATTGTTGGCCTGGAACTGGTCACCACCTTCGCCACTCAGCACAGTCCCATATTCATGGCGGGTCCCTCTACACTGTGATTTCTTGCAGTTACAATAAAGAAGTTAACTTGGACTGCAAAACTCAGAAATTAAAATTACATGGGGGTCAGAGTCTGGACATTGGGAGGAATATTGTGGCTTTGCTCATGTGCTTTGTGCTCAGCTTGAATCAAAAGGAAGTGGGACACAGTAGAAATAATACCCTTCATTTGTAGCAATAGAAAAAAGTGACAGAATACTGAGCAGGAATCTTCTGTCACAAAATGTAGAGATTTAAATGAACAGTCCAGTGGACCGTAAACTGAACATCTTTCAAATAAACTGACCACATACATGAGAAGACGTTCAATGTTCATAAATTGCAGATTAATACTGTGAGGTTGACAATACTTCTCTAAGAACCATACAGATTCAGGGCACTCCTTATAGATACAAGCTGTAGTTCTGTTTTGCTATTGTTGTTACTTTGGTGTGTTTGTTTTTGTTTTTGCTTTGTAAAATTGGCCAGCTTATCCTAAAATTCATCTGAAAATCAAGGAATCCAGAACAGCCAAAACAACCTTGACAAAGATCAATATTGCAGGATTCACATCTTGCAACTTCAAATCTACATGACTGCAATGGTCAAAAGTACGAAAAAGTACTTGCATGAAGACAAACATATAGATCAACGATTTGTAATAGTCCAGAAATAAACCCATACGTTTATACTTAACAAATTTTGACAGGTGTCAAGACAATCCAATGTTCAAAGAATCCTCCCATGAAATGACTGTGGAGAAAATACATACCCACAAGCAAAAGAATAAATTTGAACGCCTGCCTCAAATCAGTACAAAACTTATTCAAAATATACAAAGATCTAAATGTAAAAACTGAAATAATTAAAAACTGTTGTAAGAAAACTTCAAGGACAAAGACCAACAACGAAAAAAAAAAAAAAAGATGGGGAGGATAACAGATACTTGAACTTATGGTTCTTCATCAGGAATGTGAAAACAACTCAGAGAATAACAGGCAATTTTTGAAAATCATGTATCTGATAAGGGACTTACCTAGAATTATCACTAGTACATAGTGAGTTCCTACAAATCAACAACAGAGACAAATAATCCAACTTAAAAGAGGCCATGGATCTGAATAGACATTATCCCCAAAATGATATAAAATGGACAATAAACACATGGAAAGGTGCTGACATCACCAGTCATTAGAAAAATGCAAAACAATACCACAACGGGATAGCACTTAACAGTCATAGGACAGGTAAGCTTCAAAATACCCACAATGACAAGTAGAGAAATAGGAAACACATGCATGGCTGGTGGGCATGTAAATGGCGCAGCTTCTTTGGGAAACAGATAGACAGTTTCTTCAGAAGTTGAAGAGTTATCACATGATTCAGCAACTCTATTCCTAAGGATATATTCCACACTTGATGTAAGCCAAAAGACAGAGAAGTGATCTCCTAACTATATATATTCCAAAACTGAAACATACTCCACAAAATTTGTGCATAAGTGTTCACAGTGGCATTATTCCAATTAGCCCCAAAGTGGAAACCCAAATGTCCATCCAGTGATGACACCTAAAATGTGTGAAATTCCCACAGGGAAGATTATCCTTTCAGGATTCACATCTTGCAATTTCAAATCTGTATGACTATATTCATCCGTAAAAATGTACAAAATATCAATTCATGCACCAACATTGATGAATCCTGAGAACACTATATTAATGGACAGAAGCCAGACGCAGATGTCACCTGTTGTATGATCATTTTTGTTAACTGCCTAAAACAGGCAAATTCAGAAAGAGAGAAAATAGGTGAGTCCCGAGGGGAGTATGAAAGTAGGGGGAGGGGAGTTACTGCTTAAGGATATGAGGCCTGTGTGTGAGGAGATGAAAATGTTTTGGAATTTAAATAGTGGTAACTGTTGTACAGAATACACTATAACTTACACTGGGACACTTTGTAGAAGTAGATTTCATGTTCCACAAAATAGATCTCTGTAAAAAATTCAATTCCTGGGAAAAAGCATCCACATATGCAAAGAAACAAGAGATTGTGACCCATAATAGAAGAATCAATCAAAATTTATCAGGACTGATACAGTTGTATAAGGAGAAAATAGAAACTGTAGATTGTTATTTTAACTGCATTTCATAACTTCCAAAGTTCAGCGACACCTAAAAGCAACTTAAAAGACCCTAGAGAAGGAAACTTTGGCATAAACGTACATAGAGTGGAATTAATGATTGAATTTACGTTGGAGAAAACCAATGAGGAAGCAGCAGGCACAGCGACAGGAACTCTGGACAATGAAACCGACAGAGAACAAAACCAAGCAATGCCCAGGGCGTCTGTGAGCTGCGCCACCGGCCGTGTGTGCAGGAGGAGGAACTGGGGAAGGAGCAGCAAGAACAGGAGGAGAAATAACAGCTGGAACAGTCAAAGCTTTCCCGGAAACCACCCAGGGCGCCCCCAGGGGAGAGAGTGACCAGGGTGTGGGTCCAACCCGCCCAAAGCGGTGAGAGACAGACAGACAGACAAAGGAGAGGCGGAGAGAGAAAGGGAGAGGGGGAGAGAGAGAAAGGGAGAGGGAAAGAAAAAGAAAAGGGAGGGAAAGGAAAGGGGGAGAGAGAAAAGAGAAAAGAGAGGGAGAGAGAGAGGGGGGGGGAGGGAGAGAGAGAGAGAGAGAGAGAGAGAGAGAGAGATGAGAGGGAGAGAGAGTGTGAGTGTGTGTGTGTGTGTGTGTGTGTGTGTGTGCGCTCATTGACCAACATGTGATCAAATACTATCCGTCATGCTCACAGGTCGGTACTTGGCACTCACAGAAGCTGGATCGCCGCTGGACGAGCGCTCACTTAGTTCTAGAACAAACATGGCCCCCAAGCTAACAACCTTCGCGGCATGCTGGGACTTGTAGTTCAAGGCATGCCTGGACTGTATTTCAAGGCATGCCTGGACTTGTAGTTCAAGGCATGCTGGGACTTGTAGTTCAAGGCATGCCTGGACTGTATTTCAAGGCATGCCTGGACTTGTAGTTCAAGTCATGCTGGGACTTGTAGGTCAAGGCATGCTGGGATTTGTAGTTCACGGCTTGTGGGGACTTGTGGTCCAGAGTGCCCAGATTGGGGCAGATCCTAGTGTTGCGCGGCTCGCCCCTGTTTTATGGACATACATTCTGTAGCAAAAGCTCTAAACCCACTAATCTGGAAATTCAATGACCCCATTTCAGAAGTAAGGCTTTACTAAGAGGTGGGAGGGGGTGTTCCTCCTCAAGTTTAACTTGTCCTCTTTGATTTCTCTAAATGATCTGAAGGAAACTGAAATGTTAACATTTTTTTTTAAAGTCTGACGGGTGAACATCCAGGTTTGCATCACGCTACTTTTTCATCTTCCACCAGTATCACCACAGTCACTGCAGAGGAAGCTGCTGGGGGAGGGGTGTTCTCTGGCTCAGCATCAGCCTGGCCCCCAGGACCCTGATTCTGTCTCCCCCTCCTCTGCTCCCCGGGCAGACCCGCCCCCACCCCACAAGGACACCCTCATTCCCTTCTCCTCACTCCCCCAGTCAGACTCGGTTTCTCCCTTTTCCAGACCCGCCTCCGGGGCTGCAGGGTCGGGGCTGACAGGGGCGGGGCCAGCAGGGCAGGGCGGGGCTCCCGGAGGGCGGGAGGGGGAGGCTTGCAAGAAGTCAGGAGAGAAGGTTAGGAGGAAAGAGCCCCCAGTAGACACTCCCTGGAGCTTTCCTTTCCCATAGATGCTGTCGGTGCCCTTGCTTGTTCTCCTCCCTCTGCGTGTTGTGGAGACTACAAAGTGCAGCGCACCCTGTTTAAGCAGCCCCCGACTCTGTAGGTAGGTGCTCCTGTCTGCTCCCCCAGTGGCGAGTCCCCCCAACACCTCTGACCTACACCCCAGTTTCTTCTATGCAAAAAATAAAGGATGGTACTTAATTGTCTGATCTGCTCTGATTGCTTCACTCTGAGTTTGCTTTACATTCCGCCATCATATGTATATCAATTTATAAGACATGCAGCAGCATTTTTTAGTTTACAGTATAAGCTCCAAGAAATGTCCAGGTGACATTATTCCACCCCCTATCTGAGGGTCTGCTAGGCTTGAACAGCTGCTTAACCGCCATTCTGGCCACAGTTTGGTCTTTTTGTAATTGGGGTGCCCATGCAAAGGGGAGGTTCCAGGTTTCCTGCCCCACCCAAGGGAGGGTAGAGCTGAGCAGGGAGAGAAGAAGCTGCAGAGGAGACTGAGGAAGGAAGGAAGCAGGATGGAGCCAGAAGGAGACCTGGAGGAGGCGCATGGAGCCTAGAGACACCTGAAGAAACTGTGCTTGTCTTTTGGTCGTGGATGGGGTGACACAGATGTGGGTGAGAGTCCCGTGGGGAGGTGACAATGGCAGCTTTTATCTTGATGTTGATTTTGCTCTTTTCCTCCTGGGCTTGTCTGGTTGTTTCCGACCCTTTTCTGTGGGTCCCCACTGGAAGGTGCTTTAGACTTGTGGCAGGCTTTGGGGCCTTTCTCTGGGCCAATCTCATTTGGATGGAGTTTTACCCACGAGGGGACGGGTAACTCTGGGTTCTTGATTTAGAAACTATATTCTTTGCCTTTCCTGTATTGTTTCCTATTTGTATTAAAGTTCCTTCCCATTAAAGTCTCATATGTTTTGTGTTGATGCGGTGGATGGCAGAACCCATTTAGAGTAGGCAGGTTTGCAGGGTTTGGGCTGCCCCTCTCCCTGCCCTATAACAAAACTGCATACTTAACCCTAACTTGCCATGAGACTCACTTCCAGACTTCTCTGGCTGTTTCTGACCCTTTTCTATGGATACAAACTGGAAGGTGCCATAGACTTGTGGCAGTCCTTTTGTTAGGGGGAAAGGATGTCCTGAGATAATCTCATACAGGCTTTGTGGACTCCACCCCACTCCAGACTAAAGCCATCAGGACATTGGGAAAGACAAATCCCATCACCACCAAGGGAGGGTGGCTGG